AATTTACACATATGCATGTACATGTGCACGCATATACATACACACACATATACAAACATTCATACACGCACATACACGTATATAGATAATACATAGATGTGAAAAATTAAATTTAACCTAAATAAGCAATTACATTAACTTGCATCAAATTCAGATAGAACCTCATACACAGCTTTTTTATATCTAGAAGAAGTTAATCCAAAGATATCTATGTCATTAAATTTGTTGTTGTATAATTCCATTATACGATTTAGAGAAATATTTTTAATTACTGTCACTATTTTTCTATCTTGCAAATATGAGAGCGGAGTCGAGTTTATTTATTTCTGAGGTATTGCTACCTGTTTTGATCTCTATTATTTTAATCATTTTCAAATAATAGAGTCCTAATCAATTAAATTTCGTATATAATTGTTTATCTTTATCAGATTGGTAAATAGTTTAAACATATTTGATTTCTAGATCGGAGGGGTAACGATTATTTTCGACAAATTTGAAGGGTACAGATGTTTGTTCTGAAATCGAATAGTTTGGTTGTTTACTCAGACGAGAGAGCCTTCCTTTCCTGGTCAGTAAAGCAAACGGATATTCAGTAGTTCCTATGTAAGCAGACACTTTATGATTCGAACAAGTGAGCTGTGAGCCGTGAACATCTTGAACAGATTCAGTAATGTAAAGCGTAAAGAATATTTTACTATTCAGTTGCTCTAAAATAACCTCTATTAATAGTATTTTTGAACTATCACTTAGTAAACATAGGGTGACCAATTTGGTAGGACTCCTATTTTGTCTAGGAGTCCATCTTGGTAGGTAATATTCTATTACATATTGCAGTGCCACCAAATAGCAGTGCTTGCATCGGTATGTTCCGATCTGAATGGTAGAAACAGCCGGTATAAATATAAGTTGATAGGTATTTCATTTTTGTTCTCAGAGTTACAGGTGTCCACGTACTGCGTGAGCCACATACCATTAGGTTTATTGTAAGTTTGTTTGTCTTTTGTATAAAAAAGTTACATATTATGCATCTAACAGACACAGACATTCTATAGTTATTATTTTGAACGGAAGAGTACGGCGTGCTCCGCCAGTTAGTGTAAGCAGATTTAACTTGTTCTCGTTTACGTGTATACACGTTCCCCCTCTTTTAAAAAATGAATTTGATACATAATTTAGTAAAAAGTTTGATCTAACACGATATAGCCTTACTTCTAACTAAAACTAATTAGTGTGCGTGGAGCCTACAAAGGTACAAAGTTGCAAGCAAACAATGCGATAACGCGGGGCTTGCTTGCTACTTGCTCGCTCGACCAACATACTTTCTACGAAAATAGTACAACAAAACATGGATCTAAAATAATCACGGGTACATTACATTGAATTTTTTCAGCATTATACTATACTATAAAATACAAAGTGACTCTCTTATGGGTCAATATTAATTTCATGATCGCTACATATAAGTAGTCTTAAAGGTAAAATTACATGCTTCATGTTCTTAACCTTACATTTAAGTACTTACTTATCTCTAATTTTTTACATTAACTTTAATTACAAATGTCAAACTCATTGATTACAAAAGGTTTAGGTCTACAAATATTTAATAAATACAGAGTTTAATTTGAGAACTATTCAAGAATGGCAACCATTTTATATAGTTTTATTTTATTTTAACAGTAGTATTTTAATAATGTACTGATGCCGATTGGGGTGGCTGGACTAGCTGTTGTTTGAGCTAGCTGTGTCCCGCGTCCTTGCTCGATACTCGAAATAACATGTTCGATTACTTTACCCTTTACTTTCTTTCCGGCTTTCCGGCAAAAAATGTAAAAACATGTTAAACTTATCACACTTATCACAATTATCGTAACAACTTTTTGGGTTTGTTTTCTTCTAAGTTAACTTTTACTTAAATATGCAGAGTTACATAAAATTAAATTTGCTTAAGACCTAGATTACAAAAAATGCACAGGTGGCTTTACTACTCGGCCACTCCGTGTGGTACAAGGAATAAACTTATTATCTACTTTACTTTTTGTGTTCGCGTTCTGACATTCATTATTATTTGTGCTTAAATTATTAGTTTCTGACTCATCAATATATGCTGGCTTCAATCTTTCAATTGAAATATTGTCCTGCCTATTAGGAAGTTGTACCTTAAATACCTTATTATTTCTACTTAGAACGCTGTAGGGACCATCGTAAGGTGTTAAAGGTTTTTTAATCGCATCATTTCTTATGAAAACATGACTGCAATTATTCAAGTCCTTATAGACAAGTAATTTCCGCGAATCGCTTGCGCTTCATGACTTAGGACGGAGATTACTTATAACTTCTTGCAATCATTCAACGTACGTGTAATCGTCCCCATTATAATTTAGACTTGCCTCACAGTAAAAATCGCCTGCTAAGCGTAATGATTGCCCGTAGACTAACTCGGCTACACTAAAGCCTGTGTCACATCAGCTGGCGGCTCGTAATCCGAATAAAACTGTGGATAATTCGTCATCCCATGATTCATTTTCTGATAACCTACTCGTTAAAGCGGCTTTCAAACTACGGTTCCATCTCTCTATCATCCCATTACTCTGAGGATAGTAAGATGTGGTTCGAATCCTACGAACTCCTAGTAACTTAATAGGTTTGAAAAAAGAGTGCTTTCGAACTGTCTGCCTTGACCGCTGGTTAATCTACTAGGACACCCAAATCTACATAACCAGTTGTCATATATAACCTTAGGTACGGTTTCAGCGGTGATATTTTCAACGGGTATTGCTTCCGGCCAGTGTGTGCAACGGTCTATAATCGTGACGCAATACTTATTATTATAGCACGTTGTAGGCAACGGGCCTACAATTTCCACGTGAATACGATCGAAACGTTCGCTGGGTTCGAATGAACCTATTCCTGTAACAACATGACGTATTACTTTGCTTTTTTGGCATCGTATGCATCTTTTTACCCATAATCCTATCCTACTAATAATCCTATTTCCTTTGTTCATATTAGGCTAAAAGAACCTCTTGGCAACCGTGTCATGTATAGATTCGAAAACAGCTTTCCTAAATGATGGTGGTACATAAGGTCTGATATTACCGCCCGCGACGTCACGGTATATACTTTTTTTTAACGTTAGGAATAACAACTCGCTTTAATTGTACCTTGTTCGACGCGCTGGCATCCTGTAGCATTTGCGAAATTTGAACGTCGGTTTCCTGCGCTGTCGCTACTTCCTCGTAATCTATAACCGTTGGACAAACGATAGTTTCAATACGTGATAACGCGATTATTGTTGCCATTGACATGTCGTATACTGCTGGTATACTCGCTAATATACAACAACTGTCTAATTCGTCGAGGAGTCTCTTTACTGAAATTTACCTGCGTAAGTGCTTATGTTAGAGGCTTGTGGTCCGTGTAAACAGCCAATTCCCGTCCTTCTACCATATTTTTGAAATGCACGATGGACATGTACACAGCCAACAGTTCTCTGTCATACGTACTGTATTTTTGTTGAGCATCTGATTTTTTTTTTTTTTTTGAGAAATACCCGAGCGGCAAACACCGTTGACCTTCTGCTGCAGTACTCCGCCTACACAGGTGTTCGAGGCATCGGTCATTAATGACAATTGCGCGTCCGGCACAGGGTGTGATAATGTTACGGCATGCAGCTCTAACGAAAGTTGTCTATTATGTAAAAATTTTTTATTTAGTTTGGGAGTGACCTGTAGAAATTTACCATACCTAAAAGACGTCGTAGCTCGTCGACCGTCTGTGGCTTTGGATAGTCCAGAATAGCCTTGACCTTGTCGGGCAAAGGGCTTATTCCTGACTGTGTAACCTTGTATCCTAAAAAATCGTCTTCGCTCACGCCAAACAAACTCTTGCTTAGATTTATGGTCAACCCGATGCTGTAGAATCGCTCGAATACTTTTCGGACATGTTTTCGGTGGATGACTTCATTTCGCGACGCTATGATGACGTCATCAATGTAACAAAAGGTGATGACTCATATTCATTTATTCTATTTCTCCAATATTTTCAATTCCATGCAGAACCGTGTTGTTAATAAACCTCTAGAAGGTTTGGGAGGCGTTTGTCAAACCAAAGCCCATGCGTGGGAGCTCATACAAACCAAAAGGGGTAGTGATTGTTGTTTTCTCGACATCCTCTGGTGCAACTTCAATAAAATGATAAGCTCTATCAATATCAAGGCGTGTGAATATTGTCTTACCTGTCAACCCAAAAGTAAGAGTTTTTTACGTGGTAGAGCCATGCTGCAGTTATATTAGTAGTATGGTTGTAGCACGAATGGTTCGGCTCGACCGGGGAAGGACCACGCTCTCACAGAATACCAGCGTAAGATAGTAGCTTAATGCTTTTGTGTTTCGTATGGTGAGTGTAGAGAACCGGAGACCCTTTTTACTGGAAACGAGGCCTCCTAACTCTTCACGGGTGACAACGTATCTGCATTTTGTTTAATAATCGAGGACAGATGTGGATGTCTATGGGCCACAGCAACCACTTACCATCAGGTGGACTGTGTGCTCGTTAGTCACCCTATGGTATAAAAAAGTAGAGTCCTGGAGCCTCGATACAGGGTACCGATCCGGTTTCGTCACTGCATTAAGTCTACGATAATCTCCGCACGGTCGTATCTGACCGTTTTTCTTTTGCACGACAGACGAGACGACGAGAAAATTCATACCATTTTTAGTGTCCGTGACGCACAAGCGATGGTTTTCTGTGAAGTTGATGCATGCTACCACCGCATCAGGCTGCACCCTCTTCAGTTTTCCGGCTTGTTAGCGTTGTTATTCTTCTTCCAATTGCAAGAAGACTCACATCGTCGTGACGCCTTGCGGTACCGGAAATGGTACCGGCACAACCAGTCTTCACTGCGTGGCGTCCGTTGCGGTGTACGATACCTGGAACGGGAACGGTTACGCACCCATCGCCTACCACCATTATTATGACGGCGGTTGTTGATGGCGTTTACCTCACTGCGCAGCCTCTTGAGCTCCAGTGCCATAGTCTTCATCTGGGTCAACAGCTAGATGTTCACCTCCGCCACGGTTGGGGTTGACGACGAGCTGCGAGCCGAGCCAGCGTTCACGGCCAACAGCTCCCCGTTGCGTAGGTTGTCCATCACCTTGTCGGCCATCTCGGCGAGATCCTAAAGTATCGTGTCTGCTCTGTTGGTGGCCAAGATCGCGCGAACCCATGCTGGCAGTCGCGCTAGCCACAAATTCTTTAGCGTATCGCCTTCGGCGCCGGAGTTCTTCGGGAGCTCATTCATCTTGGCCAGCAGCTGAGATGTTCGCTGCTGCCCTATTTCCATTCCCGGCACGAGTTTGTTAAACTGGGCCTCAGCGCTGGCTTGAAAAACTCTGAGGAGCCACGCCGGTGTAGCGTCCCTGGTCCGGTTGATTGCTTATGAGATCACTTACTTGGCTGAGCTCCTCCTTGCCCAGCTTGCTCACCACCATATCATACTTGACCCCCTTGTTCCCCCTGGCGTTGTGGTCCCATTACGGACTCGAAGCGTAGAAACCACATTTTAGGTATGTCGGTCCAAAATGGTGGGATACGCGACGCCAGGCCGATGGTGGCTATTTCGCCCGGTGGAAATGATGATGTGGGCGACGGCGGAATTGGCGCTGGTTGAGCCATCGTAGCGTGGTATTTTGCGGGCTTCGCAGCACGACCTATATCAATTCCGCCCCTACAAAAGTCTTAACACGGGGTCACCAACGTTGTGAATGTATTGGTGGCTAGTGTATCTTAGGGACTTGTGTAGGGAGGAAAATGAAATAATTGCTCACATACGTTGTAGTTGATTTATTTTCTACATCAGATATGCGTGTTCACGTGATACACTTAGAAAGGAACTGCCTACTGCACTCTAGCTAACCGACTTACAGACTGCCGTCCCGTTATCGTATTTCATGCGAATTGCATTTACATTGACACGGGCGATGTATGTGTGTGCTATGTTAGCAGCACACACAGGTTCAATGTCAGTTGCATTACCCCATAGCAAGATTACACAACTATAACAAACTAATCTAATTGTTTCGACACACAAAAGGCCTGTAATCTTTTTTTCATCATATGCTGCAGAACTAAGTTTGCTAGCTACTCATAGTTTAGATATTTGAGGTCTCCATAGAAGCTTCGCGTCAACAGTAATTCCGAGAAAATCAGTGGATTCAACAAGTGTCAGCTCCTCCCCATTTAAAAGCGCACTGGTGATCACCTGCTTAACATTAGAGATTTATTTAATAACTGCATCAAGTTATATTGCAACTTAATACAGGAATAATAGTTAGCTAAGAATGCTATACTAAAGAAAAACCAAAACTTAAAAATGAAATAGTCACATAGATCTACTCCCCGTGGTATCGTGCCAAGAACGCTGGCTGCGTTTCCTCGCTGAGTAGCCTGTACTTAGTCTTTGAGCGAGGAAAGAACCTGCTCTCTTATCACCAGCAGCGACGATCAGTCGCAGATACAGTTAACGAGATATTTCAAATCAATGACAATTCAAATCGAACTAAGCCGGGTATAATTTATTGCTAACAAGAAAACGTGTATTGAGAAATAATTTCTAGTCTAGTCTAAAGTCTTCTGCAGATTATCTATTTAAGTAATTCTTATATTTACAGCAGAATTTCCTCGGCAATATAACTAGGTCCTTACTAATCAAATCGCTGTTTTTTTTGACTGGCTTGATCCATTGTTGACTTTGAACCGCTTTAACTTGAGTTGGAATTCTAAATCCAAATAAAATTTATTATATTTAAGGTAATCATTAAAAATCAGGTGTTGGTTTTGTTTTTTCTGCAATATCGTTTTGTACGGAAAAATTGAAAAAAAAAAATATAACAAAGATACGTACTGATTTGCTCCTTAATGACAACGCCTGACCATATATTAAACAACAGTAGTTTGGTAAAATTATTAGAGCTAAAGCTACAGGTAACAGAATATAGTATATGAGGAAGGGCTTCGACCAGCATATTTTCTAGACCTTGCCCTAACAGACGTCAATTTTTTTAGAAGTTCAGATAACTTTTGACAGGCAAAAACTGGAAATCCGAAGCAACAATAAAGAACGCTTTTATTGAGTTCATCGACTGCCGTACAACATACTTTTATAGTGAATAGTTTAGGAAAAAAATTATTTTATTTTATTTTCAAAAAAAATATATTTCAATTTTCCTAACATTTATTAATGACTTATAGTATATATTTTGTAACAAAATTATAAATTGTTAACAGAACTGATTACAATAGTATGTATGGTGCTGGAATGTGCACGCACAAGGACTCAAATATTCGTGTTTGACGTTTAATTATACAGTTAAGCGCTAACAGGATCAAATAAATAATTTAGATAGATATGGTCCTTTAACTCTTAGGTTATTTAGTTCTTTAGGCCGTTTTGGTATGTATTACATATGAACGATAGGTATTATTCATAAAAAATATTTAAAACAAATTATAAAAGTTGTAGTAATAAATAAGGCAACCACCATTTTACCTCGTACCTACTGCAAATAGTCTCTCATATATTGTATTGCTTAAATATAATCCTAGGTACTCCATGTCACGTTGATAAGTGCCATAAAGACATTGAAAATTACACTTAAAGTCGAAACGTACATATTTATGAGTAAGTTATGATTACTAAAATAAAAGTAAAAATTATACAAAATACTACCCTGTTAGACTTTTCGTAAAATTGACCGGCTTATAAATGAGCGTTATTGTGGTAAAGTTTTACCACTGTTATGGGATAGTATCTAATGTTTTACTATGTTATTTTAAAATTTGTCTATTTTGGAATTTTTTGTAACAACAAAACATAAACCTTTATTAAAACTTCTAAAACAAATCACACTTTAAGCACATTTTTAAACGTTCTGCGGTCACGTGAGTTTAGTAATCTATATTGAAGCAGTGTGGGAAATAGCCGCTTGTTAATTTTATTCGTCATATATTCGTCATAAAATTTTATTAATAGTTTTATTATCTACTGCGGATTGTCTACTGCCAACAACTAATGAGACTCAAGAAACAAATTGAGAAAAAACAGCGGGAATCGATCAACAGAAAGGAGTGATCTTTCATCATGATAACGCCAGACAAAACACATATTTGGCGACTCAAACAAAAATTGTGAGAGCCTGATTGGGAAGTGTTAATACATCCACCATATAGTCCTTGCACCCTCAAATTTTTATCTGTTTCGGTCTCTTCAGAATTCTTTGGGTAGTGTTAGGTTAACATCAATGGAGGACTGTAAAAAGTAGGTACATGTCGCATTTTTTTGACCAAAAATCCCAAGATTATACAGCAGCCTATCCTATAAACCAAAAAGCAACGAGATACGGCCTACAAGATGGCAACAAGTTATCGTGCAAAATGGCACATATATATTATAACTAAATGTAATTAATATTAGAAAAAAAAATGTCTTGAATTTGTATATATAAAATACGAATAAACTTTTCTCCTGACCTATTATATACATATAACCAAAATTAACGAAGACATATTGCAACTAGTTTTAAAAGAACTTACTCTTTTTAGGAAACCTAACTTTCTTAAGCGAAATGATTTTCATATTAAACGTAGAAATAATAAGATATTTAAATCGTTATCATCATCATCATCAGCTCGAAAAAGCCTATTGCTTGACATGAGCTTTTCCAGTTAGGGAGTGAATCATTGTTAACTTATAACGTCTTCCTGGAATTTTTTTACATTACTTAGAATATTTTTGTTGCTTAGAAATACAGTATATTCGGAGGTTGTAAAGACGTTAAATAGATAGGAATATGAAACTGAGGTTTTGCTAATCGCGCATGCACCGGTCAATTTCGCTGTGAATGACTCGCTAGCGGAGGCTTTTGTGCTTGTCCCCGATTCTAATTGAAACTATTTTGGACACAGGACAATGCAGCATTGTCCGCGTGTCCGGCGGTGTTTGCTGCCTTTATTAATTCACGTGGGCGTGGTTGCGGCTGGGCGGGATGCGGGCGGAGCTCTGAATCGTAACCGCCCAGCGGCGCGGCGCATTCCACGGCGTATCGCGGGATTCCAGTCGCTCAGTCGGCCTTACGACGCGACGTCCGTTGCTCATCCTCGCGCGGATATTTGCACTTCGTTTACTCGTTACGACAGTTTGAACTTCGTGAGTTTTCATCGAGTTTCCCTCGGTGCTTGGACTCCGATTTTTGCCGATTTGATTTGGACTTTATTAGTGGTACAGTTTCAGAACGCAGTGAACACTTGTTTCTTATCGCCGTACCACCGCATGCACGCTTGACAAGTGAGTCCAAAATGATTTTTATTTCAGGGAATTATAATAAAGAAGAAGTTTTTAAATATGACTGAATGAAAATTATGCGTAAAAATAATTTACGAAAATATTTTTTGAGTTATCGAAGTGCGGTGACAAGCAACTTCAAAAAAGTTTGCCATCAGTTTAAATTAACTCTTAGTTTCTTGCTAAAGTAGTTAAACTATAATTTTTACCACCAAAAATAATTTTAATAGAGTACTTTGTTTATGATTCCTTTAAAGGGAGAAATATATAGGATATTGAATAATGAGAATTTGATTTTATCAATATTTCTTGACTACCATTTAGTATCTGTATCGGTAACAATCTCTGAAACCTGAATTATATCTGTAAATAACTATAACGCTATTTTTAATGGGATCAACTCTAAATCATTTATATAACAATTTTCAGTTGTCAATGTCATAGAAATATATACAATGTTTAAATTTTACAATACAAAGTGTGCCTTAACTGTTTAATTTCAAGTAACAAATTTTTCGATGTTAACATACTAACGTCAGTTTATTCTAAATCTAAGAACATAAGCATGTTTTTGTAATAAATACGGTATGTATTAGTTTTGCCGGAGTAATTATATATATCCCAATATTATAATAACAAATAGATTATCCCGTTTATTCCAATTGGCCTCACTCATCTGAATGAGTGACTCTAACTCTCAAATTATCAATTATAAATTTATAATTTTTATATTTTTTAGTAACTTAAATTACCTATATTATATATACTATATATCATATATATATATATATATATATATATATATATATATATATATATATATATATATATATATATTTGAGTATATAATATAATTTTTTTGAGTTTATTTTATTTGTGACACATATT